AACCTCTTTCAGATTTGCCCCTTTTTCAGGTTTGTCCTTTATTTTTTTCCAAGAAAATAGGGTCACCATATTTATGACAGAGAAAGAAACAAAAGGTCTCGATTGAGGGTGATGGCAGTTTTTCCCCCCCACATAGCAGCAGCCATTAAAAGTTTGCATGCATAGGATACTATTAATGCCAGAAATAGTCCTGTCTGCTTACCACCCAGGCAAGCTAGTGGAAATGAAAGGAAATGTGCAAGTTCTTTTTCGACTCTCCCTCCAGGCTCCTGTGAAACATTCAGCAAATAAATTTGTTTCTGAATTGTTAGTGGAAATCACCCCCAAGCTAGTCCAAAGCGGGGTTCAATGCACAGCAGAGAACAAGTACGGCTCGACCAAACAGAACTTCCAGTTGAAAATTGGTGAGAGGATCGTTTTTCTGTCCTGTGGGCATGTGGGTGTGGGGCGCACGCGTGTGCTCTAGGGCAGATTTTTCAGATACAGTTAATGTGCAGCAGGGCTTAGAATGAAATTCCATATAGATCAAGGATCAGTCCATCGGCATGAGTCATTTCATGGCTGCCCTTTAACGCTTCTTGTTTGGAAATGTAAATTCCGCCATTCTTCATGATCCCCGTAAGAATCCCCACTTTTTTGAAAATGCTGTTGGCCCCGGGGTGAGGGGAGGGAGTATTTGTCACAATCGCTGGCTTCAGTGGAAAACTTCCTCTTCTGGTCAGTAGAAACTTTGGATCATTCAGAAAAGTGTGTGTGTGTGTATATGAGATTGCTGGGTTCTTGCTGTTCTCTGAGCTTGGCTGTTTCCTTGAAGATGTTCCATTACCAGGCTAAGTAACATCCTCAGTGCGTGCCCATGCCCCAACGCGCATGCCCACGGCCGTGCATACCCACACACACCAACCTGGTCATGAAACATTTGCAAGGAAACCACCAAGCTCAGAGAACGCCAAGAACCCAGCAGCTCAGCCCTGAGCTACAGACACTCTCTACTATTGGGGTCTGGGATTAATTATAATTTATTGTTGGAAGGGAATCCGGCCCTGATCCTTATTTAGTTGTTATTTTTATTAAAATTGCCATTGCAGTTGCCTGCTTCGAGCAGTGTATCGCAGTTCCTCCAGCGCAAGCATTCTGGCTCTGGATCTCAAAAGTTAGGCAGTTAAGTTTAGATTTTGTGGTGACCTTTGCTAACTAATCTCTTTCTCCTTGTAGTTTCCCCAACAGCATCTGCCTCTCCAAGGCCAGCTGGTAAGTCTCTCCTTTCCCCTTCTCCAATTCTGTCACTGCTGATCAGGTTGGGTGAGCAGGAAGGGCGATACGGGCAAATGTGAGGGCTCTAACAGTTACCCCAGGATTTGGGTCACTAATCACTCTTTCCCACTCTTGCATGCTATCTAGGGAACCCTGAACTCCAGACAGGTGGGTGTTTGGGAGTGAGAAAGATAGGACAGCAGAGAGGTCCCCTTTGCCAGATGGACAGATGGATGGTTCCACCAAGGGATGATGGGAGTTGTAGTCTAACGCATCTGGAAAACACCAAGTTAGGGAAGGCAGTTCTGGACAGCCATGGCAGGAAGTCCCCCACCTTGACTGTGCTTCTAGCGTTCCCCGCTTGGCCCATCCATAGCCCCTTTCGCTTCCTGGCATCTCCAGAGAGGACTCGATGGTGTCCACGCCTTCCCCGGTTTCCCAGGTGACCTTTTTCTCCCCAACAGCGGATGAGGAAGAAAGTCAAGGAGGAAGTACGGTTGCAGTTATTGCGGTGTGTGTGTGCGTCCTCATCCTGCTCCTGATCGTGGGCTTCTTCTACTTCATGCAACGGCGAGGCCAGCTGCCCTGCAGCAGGGGAGAGAAAAGATCCCTGTGAGTTTGATCTTGGCGCTCTGCACGGTGTTCCAATGCGTTGTGCCTTCCTGCAGCAGTTTCCCAGAAATTTCCTCTAGGGATGGGGAGAGGGAGAAGGAGAAGGAGAAGGAGAAGGAGAAGGAGAAGGAAAAAAAGGAAGGGAGGGGAGGGAAGGGAAGGAGAAAGGGGAGGGAAGGGGAGGAAAGGAAGGGGAGGGGAGGAAGGGAAGGGGAGGGAAGGGAAGGATGGATAGGGGAAGGATGGATAGGGGAAGGATGGATAGGGGAAGGAAAAGAAGGGAAGGGAAGCGAAGTGAGGCGAGGCGAGGCGAGGCTTGGGGACTTTAATCACTTTTATCTGTCTGGTTCCAGTAGATAAAATATTTTATGTTGTTTTTTTGATGTTCTCTGAGCTTGTTTTTCTTTGGGCAGACATTTCATTACCAGCCTATTACAATATCATCAGTGCAGGGGGGGATGAAGTTTGCTGGCTGTTCATATATGGTAGCTTGGTTAAGATGTGGCTTCTTCCCGAATGGTTGCTGTGGTTCAGATAACAAGCTGGTGGGGAGCATAGAAAAGGCTGAAAGACCATCTGGCAACTCACTGTATCGCAGGCCTCCCCAGGCTTGGGGGTTGCAGGACACGTAGTTCAAGACATCTGGAGGGCTCCAGGTTTTTCTTCTTTATTTTACAGCATTTTTAGATTAGCCCAGTCAAGCCGACTCTGGGAGGGAGAAAGCTGCTGTGTCCTGTTGCGATCCTGGCTTGCTTGTCCCTGGGTGTTTTTTTCTAGTTTTAAGAACAAACGTTGAATTAGACGGTTATTTCCTTCTGCTCTCAGGACCCCCAAGGAAGGGACTCAAGATGACACCGTGGTGGAGATGAAGGCTGACAGGCGGAACGAACAGACGGGGCTGCTGAGCCCTGGAGGTGGTGGTGGTGGTGGTGGTGGGACGAATGAGGTGAGGAGGGGTCTGGGTGGGAGAACGGCAATAGCCCCATTGGCCTTAAGCTTCAGAGTTTCAGCCTGTTTTCAAGCCCTGTGAAGGATTGTTCCAGCCTTTCCCAACCAGGGGCTCTCCAGCACAGATAACTGGGGGGAGACGGAGCAAGTGATGCGTCAGGACATCATCGGGCCAAGGCTGAATTATATAATTTGTGTTGGATGACACCATGACATACATGGCATCATTGTGGCTTGTACCAGATGCTTGTGTCCTCCAGGCGTGTGGGCCTTAGTTCCCAGGATTCTCAACCATGGCCAAGCTATCTGGGAAATCCTGGGAACTGAAGTCCATATATCTGGTGTGCTTATAGGATCAGGGAAAGAAGAGATTGGGGCAGAGCAAAGGAAGACTGTAGAGTGTGAATTAACTCCCTCCCTTCCTTCCTTCCTTCCTTCCTTCCTTCCTTCCTTCCTTCCTTCCTTCCTTCCTTCCTTCCTTCCTTCCTTTTTTCTTCCCTCCCTCCCTCCTTCCCCCCCCTTGCAGTGCTGAACAGAAGGAAGGCTGGACCTGTCTTCTTCCAGAGGGGCCCCTTCCCATTCTGTACCGCCCACAATGGATGGAGAAGATGCTCAGAAAGGACTCTGCCAGGGCATGACAGCCCCACTTCCTCCCTCCCTCCCTCCCTCAGAGGGCAGGGAGCTTCCTTTGCACCTAGACTTTTGTGGCAGGAGAGGTTGAGATGCCATGGGGGGGTGGGGGTGTTATTCTGCCACTACTTCTTCCTCCTTAAAACCACATTTTTTGGTGATTTTTGTTTTGCTTTGTTTTAAAAAAGGAACTGACAATTATCTGCACAGACGCTCCATTTGCAGGCTGCGGCATTTCTATACCTGTTGCCCCCCAGTAGACATAAATAAAGTCACCCACAGATGCACTTATGTTAGTAACACAAACAAACATTGCAGAAGTTGCTGACCAGTTGGTTTGGATTTTCCTTCGTTTTTCCACCAACTTTCAGCAAGCCCCTGACTGCCAGTTACCTATGATCTAAAATGAACCATGTTTTGTTAACCTGCCGGTCACTCAAAGGTGAGTCACACTTGCCACAAGCTCCTCTGTTTTAAGCTGGTGTGTCCATTTGCTCATTTTCCTGTGATCACGTACCCCTCTGCATCCTCAGTGTGAAGCATGCATCAAAAGCGAACATTTCCAGAGACGCTCTCGTTCCTGCATGCACGAGCTCGCCCGTCACCCAGCCTTCTCCATACCCCCGCCATCCGAGGATGGCCCGTCATCCATCTGTATGTCTGTCTAGCAAGGACTTCTTCAACTCCTCCTGGTGCATCTGTCACACTAGTGTGTCTGTCTGCATTTGAGCATGGCCAGCTTTGGAATTTAGCCCGTGGCCAGTCCTTTAATGGTAATTTGATCAGTTAAATGAGCGAGTGATAATGTTCCTCCAAGCCACAAAAATATGCGACTGCTGGTTTGATAGATTGGTCCTCTGTTTAAATGGATAGAGGCCAGTCAGCTGGTTGTAATGCGTGAGTTTTTTCTCCTCGGCCAGTTGCCGCCCTTCCTAACTCATGTGCTTTTTTCTCTGGCCATAAGGTGCTATGAATATACAGTATCCTAACGCTGACTCGCAGTCGTTGGAGCACGGGATCCCAATCTGCTATGCCAAGAAAAGTTATTTTGTCTGCGCACCTGAATGGCAGTCTCGTGAAGAATACTCCCTCTCTCTCCTGCTTCATATAGCTTTGGCTCCAGGGCTTTGGGGAAGGGGGCTTTTCAGCAGAAAGTGGGGTCTTCCAGCCACCGATTTCTTTCTTTGTGAGGTGGCTGGGGACATGACACGTGCTCCCAAGTTAGTTCTCTGTATTTTTGTGTTCTGTTCTCTTGATGTCTCGGCTCCCGAGGTGGGGCCCACCCTCGACCCCCATCTTCATTGGTGGCAGTGAAGCCTTCCCGGTCAGTGGATCCCGTGTCGGTTTTTATAGGGCACCGTTTTGTGTGTATGGCAGAATCTCTTGGGGATCAGCCTCTTTATTCAGGGTTGTGATCTTCCTGTTGTCCCTAATCCTCGTGACGTGTCACTTTCTTTCTCTCTTGCACTGTGTGGTCAAGACACTGGCTTTGGGGGAAAAACTTGGGCCTTTCTTTTTATAATTAGAGTACCTTTAATGGTGTTGCAGCCTAGGGAACAGAACGGAGCTGGGAGCCGTGGCACCCCGTGGTGGAGACAGGCAGGTGGCCGTGAGGCTGGGAGAGGGGGCTAACCGAGTGGCCGTGATCTTCCAAAGAAGCATTTTTAGAGAGGGAAGGAAGCTGGATATGTTAAGAGTTTCTCCTCGAATGGCAGCTGGAATATTCCTTTATCTCTTCCGTTACCTCTTCTCCCCTCTTCCCACATGGCCTTCCAGATGTGGTTGAACTTCCACTCCCAGCAGCTGCTGGGCATGCCGGCAGGGGCTGCTGGGAACGGTCGTGTATCAATATCTGGAGGCGTGAAATAAAGGATGAGAGCTTCCTGTAATGCCCACTGTTTAAAACTGCCTCTTAGATCTCACTGCATTTTTAGCCCCTTCTCTTCGTACCGACTGCAAACTGCAGAGTTGCTTCGTTTAAAGCAAAAAACAGCCACCTTCTCCCCCATTGTTCCGATGCCCCTTCCAGAAATTCGATCCATTGGCTGCTGCTTTCTGGATTTTTGCATCGATTGGGGGGAGATGTGGATTAAGTGGCCGTTCAGAGGTTTTTTTAGCTCTCCTTCTGGATGGGGCTTCCTCTGCAGACCAAGGCAGAGGAACAAATCAGTTGGCAACCTAGCCGCCTTGCATCCTTTGCACGGCCTCTCCCCACCACCCCGTGCCGTCGCTCCCGTGTCTCTGTTCAGGTCTTTCTATCCTCTACAGCCTGTGCCCAGGTTATGCTGTACGTTAGCCATTAAAATATTGTAACCTCTGTTTGACTCCTGAATCTTGGTGTGTCTGCATGGAACTCGTGGCCCGCAAAGGATGTGACTTGGAGCGTCGAAAATACATTATCCAACCTCTGTCATTGCCCACAAAAGAAAATCCCTTTGACGCTGGCCTTCCTTCCATTGAGGAAGGAAACTTCAGCTGAGAGCCGAACACAAGAGAAAGCGTTTATTTTATTTTGATTATTATTTTTACTTCCTCCCACCTCGGTCCCAACCAGATGATGTGCGCCATTGTAGCTGGCTTGGCCATACGCCGTGCAGACCCTTTTTCTCTTCGGTCGTCCCTGCTCCCCTCTGTGCAGGAAAGGCAAGAGCACACTGGGGCAGAATCGGGGCCCCCGGGTGGACACATCGGTGCTGAACCCCTCTCATCTTTCGGGGCTTTCCGCATCTCAGCTCTGCAGCTTCCTGGGGAATGTTCTTGATTTTCCAGCTTTCACATATGCTCCGTGGGGACTCCGCTTCGTCTGCGAGGCTCGTACGCAGCTAATTAGAGGAGTTCCTTCCTGCGCGTTTCCCCTCCGCACACCCCTTTGAATTTGCTTCCCCCCCTCCGTTAATTCCTTGCCAAGGAATAATGTGAATTTCCCCTCTAGGACGGACTGCTTAAGAGGAATGCCAGCTTTTGGACTTGGCCTCTGGGACGTGAGCTGCAATGTGACCTTTAGCTCCGAGCAGCGATGGGGCTTTTCTTTGGCAGGTTGCAATTTTACAAATCATTGTGGATATACAGATTATGTTTGCACTGAATGGTGCCAGAATGGCCCACACTGTTCTTTTCCCTCCCCGATTATAGTATCATTGCCAACTAATTTTGCCTCCCATAAGATGATGCCTGTTTTGCATATTGTCTTAGACCAGTGTTTTTCAAAC